ACATCGAAAGTGCCTTCGACAACACATCTCACAAGAGTGTAGCCAGGGCGATGGAGAGAAGAAATGTGGCAGCACCGGTGCGTAGATGGATAGAAGCCGTGCTACGCACCAGGATCGCCGAGACCAGGATAGGTGAAACAAAGATTCGTCTGGGTGCGACAAGAGGCTGTCCACAGGGAGGTGTGCTATCACTTCTACTATGGAGCCTTTTCGTGGACGAACTGACAATGGGATCCGCTGAAAAGGGTATGCGGACGACATTGCGATAAATTTGCAAGAGGCAAATTTGAGGATACTCTCTGTGACCTAGTGCAACGAGGTCTAAATGTTTCAAAGGGGTGGCGCAGGGGAGTGGAACTAAACATCAACCCCTCAAAGACAACCGTAGACCCTTTCACAAGGCGCAGGTTTGAGGAACCTCACACTTGGGGGCAGAGAGATCGAGATGACTAGCGAGGTTAAATAYCTGGGTCTTACGCTGAATTCTACSCTGCGGTGGAAGCAGCATGTGAACCAAACGCTGGTCAAAGCAACAAAAGTATTAATGGTGTGCAAACGGCTGGCGGGTAAATCCTGGGGCTGTAAGCCAAAGATCGTTAGGTGGTTGTACACCATGATTGTGCGACCGATAATTACATACGGGGCGGTGTCCTGGGGATCCGTAGCGTCGCAGGCTTCGGTGGTAACGCCACTATCGAAGCTTCAGCAGCTAGCATGTGTTYGCAYGACGGCCGCTATGCGGACCTGTCCGCGGGCAGCTCTGGAGGTCCTGTTGGAACTCACATCGCTTCATATAATGATAGGTCAAGTAGCCAAGCACTCACTTCTGCAGATAACAGCAGAGGGATGCGGCAAGGGCAAGATGATCTCGTCCCAGAGGATGGAGAGGATAAGTGGCGATATTCCTATTGCCCTCCTCCCAAAGGACGACATTACCAGAACAACTCATTTCACGAAAAGATTTAAGGTTAATCTCGGTAGCAAGAGTGAGTGGAACGACTCCACTCTTGATCAAATGTTAGGAATAGCACATTGAAGTGGTACACCGACGGCTCGAAAACGTCAGAAGGAATAGGTGCGGGTACTGCAGGTCCGCGTACCAAGCTCTCCATTCCGATGGGAAGTATTCCGAGTATTTTTCAGGCTGAAGTCTTGGCTATAAGTCGGTGTACCACCGCAACTATCGCAAGGAGCGAATAGCTATACTAAGTGATAGTTAAGCTACACTAAAAGTGATCTCCTCCTATGCTGAAAAGAACCATGTGCACCTAATCTGGGTGCCCGGTCACAGGGGTATAGCCGGCAACGAACTGGCTGACGAGCTAGCCCGCTCTGCAGCCTCCACCAATATGGTTGGGCTCGAACCGTTCACTGGGGTGGGTCCCCATACTGTGAAGGAGCTGCTCCGCAAGGAAGAAAGAGTGGGCAGGGAGTGGTATTGGCAGCGAGCGCACGGTATGCGTCATGCCAAGCTGCTTGGGGGGTACAACCTGTAGAGGTTCAAATCGTTAATAAACCTCCCAAGAAACAAATTCAGGATCCTGGTCACATTTTACACCGGCCACTGCAAGCTGAAAAGGCATTTAGCTAACATGGACCTATCATCTTGCGCCAACTGTCGGTCTGGAAGCACATCCAAAGTCCTTTACACACTGCGATATAAGGAGTAAGTTATGAACATTATAACTGACTCGATCTTTGCCGTATAAATTGGCAAAATCAACATAAGCCTCTAAAAGCTTCTGGACACAGGCTAAATTACTTTCGCACATTCTTGGACAGGATATGAATCTATATGCTGTCATTGAAATCAAAAAATGCTCATAAAGATCAGCTCCAATAACATTTCTTAACAAAAAGAAACCTGTATACAATATTATTTGTCGAAATTCTGAAGCTTTCCAACGTGGCATCTCTTCAAATGGCCTCAACAATTCCAATTTTTTCATTAAGTAAATTAATGTTTAGGCATTTTTTATTCTTTTTTATCGGTTTACGAGGACATCAACCAGCTGGGCAGCGGCACCTTCCAAATTAAGGGACCGGATAATCCAGGTGCATGCCCTCAATTCGTAGTCCGTCTTCAAAAGTGGGGTCTCTCATCCGAGGCTGTTTTTGCGTTTTCATTGGAGTGGTTTTTTTTTACGTGGCGGGTAACAAACCCAGCCTTCTCACTTTAGCTCGCCTTCAAACGGATGTTTTTAGGCTACCCAGAGGATACTTGGTCAAGGACAGGAAGTCGTGAGCTACTTGAGTCATATGTAAAGGAATCGTTTCTGGCCACTCCCAAGTGAATGGCGATCAGAGAACTTTCCTCACTTGCGTGAACTTCTACACATGACTCCATCCTCCTTTAGCGGTTTACCTTTCCATATTAAAAGTAAACTTTTTTTAACCACTCTTAATCGAATAAATGCATCACATTCAAAGGGAACTGTGTATTCATGTTTACGCCACAATTTTCCAGTGGATGTGCAGCAGTATGAAATCTTGCTAAATGGAAGTTTTTTGTGGCGGTCGGCGAAACTGTGGTCAGTTCTTAAGACGCCAGAAGAGATGTTTATTTAGTCTCACAGCTTTTTGCTCACATTTGGAACATCCATATGAACACGTATGGCCAACAGTGCGACTTAAAAAAGATTTGGCTGGAGCATCACATATGATAGCTGATATTTTGATTTTATAAGATTTACCGCCATASAGCATCCCATTTTTTTAAGCTCAGAGTAATCGTCCAAAAATTTCTCCAAATATTTTTCAACTTCCCGTGGCTTTGAGCAACCAATAAAACTGCCAATAAAAAATGGTTGTGATTCACAATTTGAAATTGCTCCCAATTGTAAAGTGGCAAACCATCGCAAAAAACATCTAATACAATTGTTTCACCTACAGAATTATCGTGTTTTATTTCATTTTTCAATGCATTTTCTAAGCCAAAGTGAAAATATTCTCCAGGCGGCATGGCTATTACATTAGTATCATCTGGTTGAAAAGATTGTAAGAGCTTATTTTTTGCTATACTAGGCACATTTAAATTTTGTGAGTTTAAAATTGCAAGAAGACTMTTACATGCGGCCCTTGTTATTCGATTTTCAATTGCCCARATGGCTAACTGCTTTGAAAGTGGTTCAGCTGGCAAACAAAAATCTTCTATCACTTCTTTCGAGCCTGTACCACTTTCAACTTCTTCAAAAACTTCTTTAGAGCCTGTATCACTTTCCATTTCATTAACACTTTCCACATCATTTTCCTTTTGTGTATTATTATTTTGGTTTTGGTATAAATTATTTAATTTTTTATTCATTTAATACTCAATAGATATAAGACACTTACGTCTGCACGCTTTAATAAACAAAGTTAAAATGAACAATTGCTTGGAGACAAAAATTAACAGTTATTATTTCCCGTTAAATTGTAATTTTTGAATCAAGAGTACGATTTTTAAGCCACGAAAAATTAGAAAATCTCCTTTATTGCTCCTAAAGGAAGACAAAAGGAGATCAATACTAAAATGAAGTTAAAAAAATCACAATAGAAGTATAAAATCTCCTTTTTTGCTACTAAAGGATGACAAAAGGATGTCAACACTAAAATAAAATATAAAAAGAAACACAATATATGAACAAAATTAAAAAATCTCCCTTACTGCTCGTAAAAGAGGTCAATAGGAGGACTCCTTCATTCCTCCTTTCAGGAGATTTCGCTTTTAAATCTGCTGGGCGGTTGCATATATGCGTTCGACTGTGCATATACATACGGCTGCGCAGATAAATTGCGTTCTACTTGCGACGCAAATGATGCTGACGACGTTGGTATCGGCGTTCGCGTAACTGGGTGCACTGTTTCCCGAATGTCCGGAACTGTTGAAGTAAGGGTATGCAGTTGTGCAGTTAGTATTTCCATTCCGCCACATAACGCACTAACTAGCACCTCCAACTGCGTTCTTATCCGATCGTTCTTCAACTATGGCTCACCATTCTCCTGCTGATTTTCACCACTTGCCTGCGCTAACTCTGCGCCACATGATTCACTAGACTCCATAACCTATAACGCATATAATTTATTGATATAGCCAAGAATTTAACTTTATTATAATTTTTTGTCTTTATTTTGGAGATGATTTTGGGCAAGTGACCTCCGCAACTGGCTCGAATAAATTTTTGCAGCAATTTCATATCTGTGTGGGCAAGCAATTTTACATAACCCCACAAAAAGAGTCCAGAAGTATTAAATTGCACGATCTTGGAGGCTACGATACGAGATAATACGATCACCAAGGGTTTACTTTAACTAATTGATTGCTTCGTAGGCTGTATGGAATGCACTGAAGCCTTGTTGGAATGAAAAGGCGTCCACATCAACGTACTCCGTTTCAGATACGAAAAGTCAATAATCATGCCTCTATAGTGTTCCTCATCGATTATTTTTAATTACAATTTTAATGTACCAATCCTCTACTTATAGAGCATACAAAACCGTGACCAAAACGAGTCACGCGCTTGATGGATGTTCGGTTTCATTTGAACCTTCTTTAATACTCTGCTCCAAAACAGAGTGGTGCGCAATGTACGGACTTTATGAGGAGCCGCATTTTCTACTAAAACAAACCGATCATTGGCTGCTCGAATTACTGACTCTGCGATTATGTCGACGAAATATTAGACGCGGCGCGTGATGTAAATGTGCCTTTATTTTAGTGATAAATGTGTACGATTTGCAAGCGTAGTTCCGTAGCAATTGGCAATCCAAACGAGTGTGAATCAAGAAACAGCTGTCAAAAGCCCCAACTCCGAAAAAACAATTGCTTCATTGAAAGCTACACGTCTAAAGAAAACCTGTTACTGTGTATAGGAGATTATGATTTTGGGAATAATAACACAAATGATGAGCCGAAGTGCTCCTTTTTTTGCCACTCCGCGATTTCTAATATCATCTCAACTACGCTCGAATTTTTTATCATGATATCAACTACTACTTCAGCTGTCCATTCATCTACTTACCGCTGTCCATCCACCCCGAATTGCTCATTCTGCAAATACAGTTTTATATATGGCTGACGCGTATGCAATTTATAACGACAATTCAGTGCGCGGGGATATAGGCCAGGATATGCGGGCGATTGCACATAACAAGTTTGTAGTCGGCAATCGCGATATTCGCGCTCACAGTAGGAGCTGCAATAGAAAGAAAACAGGTGATGAATTAAATATATAACATATATGTAGGAATATAGTAAATCGGTGGCAACTCCGCCGACGGAGATGAATATGTGGGAAAGACAACGCTAATAAAAACAAGAATCAGTTCTCACGACTACTTCGGTCTCCACGAACTGTAATTTTATTCAATATTTTTGTAATAAAGTGTTTCTTTGATATCTTTACGAACTGTAATTTAATTCAATATTCCTATAAATAAAATTTAATCTAATTTTTATAACCATTGTCAAGTGTAGTTTTGGTTAAGTGCTTTAGAATGTTGGAGGAGTGTTACGGCACCGCCTTCCCACTTCCATATTAATTTTATAAATGCGAAAGTAACTCTGTCTGYCTGTTACTCTTTCACGCCTCAACGGCTGAACGGTGATTTTTGTTGGGACTTTTGCTCTTTCACATCTAAACAGCTGAACGGATTGTGATGAAATTTAGTTAGGAGATAGATAGTACATTTTTATTATTACGTAGTTAAGGCAGCTGTTAGATGTAGGTATTTGCTTAACCTATAATTCATATCTCTAGGTTTACTCAGATACGTATTATTCTTAATTTTTGCAGTCGCTTTCATTTGTTAATTCTTAATTCATGTGTAGGTTAAGTATTATTTAGCTCACATCAGGATGTTGTTTTAAGTATAAAAGGTTTGTCAGGTGAATAGTTGTTTAGGTTTACTACTTTATTGATGGATTTAGATATTTAAGTTTTAAGTAAAAAGGTTTGCTTTATCGAAGATTTTATAAAAAATTGTCAGATATTAGAGGCGCCTGAAATAGCTTCTGAGACCATAGAGCAGATTCTGGCCCGTCGGGCCTTGGATGCTGAACGCCACACATCTCCAAGGGCTTTCGAGAGTTTTACACAGACTCAGGCCCGTCAGATCTTGGATGCTGAACGCCACGCATCTCAAAAGGCCTCTGAGACCTATACGCAGACTCAGGCCCGTCATACCCTAGATGCTGAACGCCACGCATCTCAAAGGGCTTCTGAGACGTTTACGCAGACTTAGGCCCGTCAGACCTTGGATGCTGAACACCACGCATCTCAAAGTGCTTCTGAGACAGTGGAACAGACTCAGACACGTCGAGTTTTAGATGCCGAATATCACGGGCAATTGATTGCGGCAGAGACTGACGAAGATTCACAAAGACGATGTCTTTTAAATGCTGAACGGAAGGCAGAAAGATTCGTACGTTTTCAATGGATACACGGGAGGTATTTAAATGTGCTGCTTTTGAGTATGACTCTTTGACCGACTATATTAATCACCGATTGGTTATCATTGAGAGAATGGATTAAAAATGCAGATATTGTGAAGCACTGAAATGGAAAGAAGAAATTTCAGGTATGTGCTGTTCTGATAGAAAGGTTAAAATTCCATTACTTGGCGAGCCAGAGGAACCTCTTAAATCTTTACTTTTAGGGACAGAAGGGATACAACTTTCAAGTTCCTCAAATTAATCCTGAACAGGTCTTCCCTTGCATAACAAAAAGGTTTCATGCATGGATTTTTACGCCTACAACMTGATGATATGAGAAAACAACTTTAACATTTTACCAAGATTCAAGAAACTGGCCAATCAGTTTTACGTTGACATGTACGTTGAAAGCGAGAAGTTACGGTACATATCATTAAATCAAACTAAACTAAGAGCATCCATCTTCAAAACGCTGTGGCAAATGTCGCTAATTTAAATCCAAATAACATAGGTCGCATGGTCATTTTACCGTCTTCATTTGTAAATAGCCCGCGACACTTACACGAATATACTGAGGCGTCCTAAGTTTTTTTATGGGCGTACACATGGTCGCCCTGACTTATTCGTCACCTTTACTTGCAACCTAGCCTGGCCCGAAATAGTCAATGAGTAGATTCCGGGGCAAAGCACAATAAATAGATATGATGTAGTCGCAAGACTTTTTAGACTAAAAGTTAAAAAACTAATGGATGTAATGGCAGAAACATGGTCTGCCACATGCCCATATATTATAGTGGTTAAAAGATAAGTTACGCCCCGACCAAATAGATAACATAATCAGCGCTGAAATACCGGATCCTAACATTGACAAGACACTCCATGACATTATTGTAAAGAATATGATTCACGGTCCATGCGGACCCGAAAATCCACAGTGCCCATGAAAGACGGAGAATGCACAAAAAAATTTCCTCTCAAGTTAGTGAAAGAGACCGTTCACAACGACTACGGATACCCGCAGTATCTTAGGAGAGCGCCAACAGACGGAGGTCGAACAGCAACCGTGAAGCTCCGATATGGTAGCTACTTTACGGTTGATAATARTTGGGTAGTCCCCTATTCACCAATTTTATGGAGTTCAGTACGCGCCATCAAATATATCTGCAAATATATAAACAAGGGTAGTGATCAAGCTATTTTAAATTTTAGAAATACTGATCTTGCGAAT